TCAGTTTGAGCAGCGGCTGAATCGGGAAAGCTGGGGGCAGAGCAGCTCCAATGGTCCAGCTGCCTGGAGCACTTCCGGGTTCCTGGTGGTGCAGGACCATCAGGAGTGCCGAACCATCAGATGCCAGACCATTGGAGTTTTACTGTATATTTATGTTCTACATTTCACATTACAAAGTGTACTACAGAAGCTGTGCATTTAATTACAAAAAACAGGAACATAAAACACTATTGGTGTGGAACATTGTCAAATTATCTTTTCTATTAGAAACGTCCAGTTTTGTTTCTCATGACTGGTGCTAATTTTGACTTTCCACTTCAATGCATGTTAACATAGGAGGTTTTTTTGCATTACATTTCCTTGGTTTTAATTTTTGAAGCATAGGGGAGGAAAGAAGTTGGCTGGACTTAGTACCAGATGGTCCTTACTTTTTGCGTAAGTGGGCTGTGGGGAAGAGGGAAGGTGTGGGGGCCAGGGAAAAGAGTAATCCTTGCATATTCAGAGGCACATGGGACGCAAATCAGGCTCACAATTTTAGAGAGCGATTGTGTCTTCCAGAGGCAAAATCCTTTGCCAAGCTCTGCTAGGATGGTGCATCTCCACACTGCACCCAAAGAACAGAAACTTGGAGCATTTAACTGTTACCAGTCAGGTCTTTACACGTAATCCCTGCTGTTGGGGGTGGGCTAGAGATTTTTCTGTTAAACTGCTACATTTTCATGGCGGTACCTTTACTATGGAAAAAGGGATGGTTATTTGCTCTTCTTTGCAGGGAGTCTGTAAATCCAAAGATGTCTGGGGTTTTCCTTGTTTAGCCTCATGATTTTTCTCTTGTTAATGTTCAGATATCTGTGTCTGCCTAAGATCTGTATACACACCCTCTCTCTTTCTTTCTCTTATATTATTGCATGTGTGTGTACACATACACAGTGGAGCCTACTTAATCTGAACTACATTCTCTGAAGTTCTGCCCATTGGGAAATTCTGAAATTAATGTGCAAATTGAAATTCCAGTTACAACAAAACTAGTGATGGTGGGAATGCAACTGCACAAAGATCCCAGTACATATACTAGATGTACAGCACTTCAATGGGAGTTTTGCCCAGGATCCACACCCTCTAAAAGCTTACAATTCACACAGTGTACACCCTCTTCTATCCCTCTGAAAGCCTCTCATGGCTTTAAGGGACAGGGGCCCCCATTCAGCAGTCTCTCCTGTACTCATATTGCTGCTATAACCTCACCTTCACTCTGCCACTGGCTACTAGTGTTCCCGGCATGCACTAGGGTGAGACTTAGTCACCTTCTCTTGCATTTCCATGCTGTCTAACTGCAGAAGGTTTAGCTGTCCTTCATGCATAAATTATGAGGCCCGAAGGAACCATGAGATGATCGTTTAGTCAGACCTCCTGCAAAACTTGTGCCAAAATATTCCAACCTGTATTTCTTGTTGCAAAACCAATACTTTCTGATTGAATCACAGCTTATCTTTTAGAAAGACTTCCAATTGTTTTTATTCAGCTAAAGAGCTTAGTTTGTTAATAACTTTTAACTAATATTTCAAAATATGTTTCTAGGGAAATGAATAAACGTCTTACAGAGGAACAAGCCAAGAAAACTTATGAGCGAGCACTTAAATTAGAACAAGAATTTGGAGAATATTTTACAGGTATGAGTCACTTCAAAATACCTGTCCCCCAGGATCCAGGATCCAGTCCAGGACCATAAAATCTCTCTCTAGCTTGAAGGAATGATTGGTTCACGTATATAGGGTGCCACAGAAAAGGCCCAATATTAAGTACTAGTAGTTCCCATTGAAGTCAATGGGTGTAGAATGCATTCAACATTTCACACAGCAGTGTTTCAATATCAATGCATGTGTATGAAGGCAATTCTGTGCCTATTGAGGTCAGTGAGAAAAGTCCTACTGACTTCAGTGATGCATGACTGGGTCTGATTGTC